AAACCTAATCGAAGTGTCAGCGTCATCAAATAAGATGACATCTCAAAACTCAAAAAGATATAGCAAAAAGCCCACGCAGCTGATGCAACTTTAGCATTTCATACAGTTTGTCAACTCGATGGCCTGCATAGCTGGTTTAATGCACAAATTATGTGAAGAGTTGGAAATTATAAAAAATATCGCATGTTTAAAAACAAAAATTGAGACAATCATAAACCAGGTAATATGCTTGGTTAAATTTTTAGATAGCATTTCATGTTTCGATCTTTCCACAGATGCTAGCAATCACGTTTCGCAGAAAAAAAATTGATTTTGTTGTTTAATACTTTCACTAGAAGGCTGGTGGTATCCAAACTAAAATTCTTAAGTTAGATAACACACCAAATAAAACCTCTGAAACACTCCAAACATAAGAATTGTTGTCTAAGTTTGTTGCTTTTGTTGGAAACGATGCTAATGTAAATGTAATGTTTTAGAGGCATGAATAGAAAAGTAAGCAAAAAAGTGTTCTCTTATTTGAAGGAAGTTTTAAAAAAACCATTGGTAGGTGTTGAATGTTGTGCCCTTGTTTTGCACTACGGTATACAACGTGGAACAGATTTAATGAAACTGTTGTCTTGAAAATGTTAAATTATTTTTCTATGTACACAGTTAGACCAGAAGCTTTAAAAAATTTATGCATTAATTAGTTATTATTAACTACTCTATCACTCTAATACTAGATGGTTAAGTTTTTTTCCAGCTATTGAAAGATTGGCGAGGTGATTTGATGTTTTGAAAATATTCTTTTTTTTCTGTAGATCAACCACCTGTTACGATGAAAATATATTTTGAGAATGAATTTTCAGAAGTTTATCTTTGGTTTTTTGCATTTCTTGATGTTTCTCTTTCAAGTAAATATTGCAGTAATTGAAAGGGAAAAAACGTCAGTTTTAGAAAATATTAGCCTTCTTTACTCTTCAGTGGAAGTTTTGAAAGACTGTTTAAATAAAAAATTCCTAAAGCCTAAAGTCATAGATATATTAAGAGAGCCTACAGAAAGTGACAGAGAAGAAAATTATAAATGCTTTATGGCATAAGTTAAGTGAATATATGAAGCATGCATTAATTATTTAGAAAAGTGGTTGAAGCCATTTGATGAGTTTTAGTGCTTTCGTTAAATGCATTTAAATAAAATAAAAGACAACACAATTGATGACTTTTTGGTATGATTTTTATACCTGAAAGAAAAAATGTATTGTTTCGGATGATGTGGAATTGTTTGAATAATTATGTTCTCTTAAACCATTTTTGCAAGGCACAACGGAAATATTGAAAGAGTTTTCTTGTTGATTTACGCTCAATAGACAAAGAAAATAAACAGACTTTTAGTTGACTCTGTAAAGGGCATCGTTCTCATCAAGTATGATTTAAAGAATCTTACCTTTAAACAGTTTTATAAATATAAGATTGCTAACGAAAGTCTTCTGCGTAAAGTTGGCTCCTTCGAGAAATATGATATTTGACAAATATATTATTGTAAATAATTTAATATATTATAACACTGTATTCCTGAACGTTGCATTTTTTTTTTGATTGAAAAAAATAATAATTGCAATTGTAATTGAAACTCATTATTTTACAAAAAGTCAAAAAGTCATAAACCTATTATACCGTCACCCTATGGACTACTTAGACCCGAATTTGAGACATGTTTGATGTTTTTAGTTCTCTCCCATATCTATGTTAATGTAAAAAACTTGTTCTTGCTAATTAATAGGCTTAGGTATAAGTTATGATTTTAAAGAAAAAATTTTATGGGGACTTTGGTTCCCTACTTTTTGGTGATTTAAGATTGGTTCTAGTAGCCCCTGTTATGGGGGCTGCTAGAACCAATCTAGTTTTTATTGAATTTCACAAAAACACTCACAAATAAAAATAATTTTAATGCAATTTTAAAAAGATATGTGTTGTTAACAAAATAATTTAAATGACTGCAAATAATGTTAAAGTATAAAAAGATTTGATATACTGTTGAGGCAGTATACTTAGTACTCAGAGTACTAGTACACTAGTTTTCTAGCTTTGCAATTTTAAAAAGACCTTTGTTGTTAAATGGTACCGGAACATTGATATTCTGTTTTATATCATCAATATTGTAAAAAAGAATGCCTGTATTTTTTTAGCAATTTCCAGTGATTTTTTGAAGGCTCCATCGTAGAAACTATGGCACCAAAAGGTTCATCCATACTAACACTTACAATGCAGCCAGCATACAGCTTTTCATTATATTCTACTTGCACACACTTATCAAGGTTGAGTTTTAACTTTTACGTGTTGACCAGATCTGAACTTTTGCTTATTTTGTCATTGGCACATTTTCATTGCTACTGCTGCTTTTAAAAGCAGCAGCAATGATATCGTGAAATGATGATATTTGTGAAAAAGAGAAAAATATTATAACCTGCAACCTAATAACCTGTAATCTACAACATATAACCTGAAACCTTATAACAATGAGACAGAGACCCAAGCTTAGCAAAACAACATTTACAATGCGTTTTTCTGTAAAGGAAAGAAAAGCTCATTACGAGGACCAGCCCAAATAAACAAGCCCAAATAACTTGATTAACAAGTCAGCATTAGAACAAAGAAACCCGAATCCATGTTTTAAGATTGTTAAGACTAAATTGTCAGACTTAAAAAGATATTAAAAGTTTTAGTTAACAAATTTACAAAGAATTTCCTAAAGGTTGTAAAAAGCTGATTAATTTGTATTTTTTGGATGAAAGATAGACTATACTTAGGATTGGTAATTTGAACCCATGTACAATAGATAGAATACTTGACTTCTCTATGTTGAATAAATGTTAAATGATAAAATACATGATTAATAGGAGATTAATGGAAAAACTAAAAATTTAGGAATAGCAGCTGCACAAAATGGAGAAAACTATTGATAAAGTGAGGCTTGGCTTGAAACTGAAAAAAAGAATAAAATAATCCACGCCTACCTGAATCCAGGTTATTAAGGAGAAAAATTTATAATAGTGAGACGGTACAACCCAAGTAACATTACAAAAAAAAAAAAAAAAAAAAAAAAAAAAATCTCCCAGTCAGTCAACTAGGCTGACGAGTGTTTTATTTTGATTGTAATTAAAGATTTTCAAATGAGTGGTTGTATTAAAAAGAGACTTGACAGTGACTTAAAGAGATTAGTTTGAACTACTCAGTTGATCAAGGTCATAGTTTGAACTACTCAGTTGATAAAGGTCACAATTCAGTTAGTCGATAAAGAAAATGGCTAAAGAGCTCTCAGTGAGTGAGCAAACCATCAAAAATGTTGTCAGAAAGTATCTTTAGGCAAAATAAAGAGAAGAGTTAAAAAACACTTGTTTTCCCTAAGTGTCAAAAAAAAAGAAAAAGATTTGAACGATCGAAGAAATTTTTGAGCATGCAAAAAAAGAGACCAACACCATCCTTTCAAAAAAATATTTACTATTTATTCAGTGTCAAACAGCAGAACCAATCATTTTGTTAACCACCAACCAGTCCAAACAGTCATAGACCATGTATAGTATAGAATTATGACCAAACATCTAACTTCAGTTATAATGTTTAGCTTAGTTTCTTCAGATCAAGGTGTGTCCAGTACAATACATTCAAATCTTGGAGAACCATTTTAATGATCCCCTCTACTCTTCAGACAACAACTTGAGTTCCAGCAAGGTGGAGCACCAGTTCATACATCCCATAAGACCTAGAGATGGCTCCAGGGGAATCAGCCAAAATACGGATCAAAAATGTTATAATCACCTGGATCTTCAGATTTATCACCTCAATTATTCAATCTGGGTCAGATTTTTCACCTCTAATACTCAATCATGTATATTCAAGAATTTATTAACTTTCTGAAGGCTGCCATCAAAAAGGAGTGAAACAAGATCAAATCCAAATGAGTGATTAATGCTGAGGGAGAATATATAAGAAAAATGTTCTACATGTATTTCTAAACATTTTTTAATAAATAATTTTTTTTTCTGCCTAATTTTTCTTTCATCATTGATTTTGGTCAAAAAATTGTTGTATGAATTTTTTGGTCTCATAAAATTAAAAGTACATTTAAATTTGAAATCTGGCGTCTTACTGATCTACAGAAATTTGAGGACTTCAGTACATACGTTTAATGATATAGGAAGAACATGTAAGGGAGTGAGTGTTTCATTATGAGGGTTTGGGTTAAAGCATCAATAGTTTTTTTTCATTATTCTTCACATTTTTCTTTTTTTGAAAAAAATGTTTGGATATTGGTTGACAAAAATAGCTGCTAAATGTTAATCTATATGCACTATAAGCTTTTTAAGAAAGGTAGAAACTTCTATCTTAGGCTAGGATATAAGCTTAGTTATGTAAAATTTTATTTTTTCTAATGTAGAAAAGTATACCTTTAAGGTGAAAAATTATACGACAAATGATTTTTTGTAATGAAATTTTCTACCATTTAAGGTTGAAAGTTATACTTTACTAAGGGTATACCTTATCCTTAGGTAGAGATTTTTGCTGTTTTTTTCCAGAGCGTAGTAAGTAAGTTAATAAATTTATATATTCACTTACTTTTGCAGGTTTAGGTTGGCACTGTTCTTATATATTGCAGTCTTTTAAGTTTTAAAATGCTGACTCAACACAGTTTTTAGAAAAAAGAGAAAAAACTAATGAATAATAAAAAAAAAATTATTTTGCTGAAAGTTATAAAAAGTCAAATGTTAACAGTCACCATAGTTTCTGTAGTAAACAGTTACCATAGTTACCATAGTTTAATTTCTGAGAAATAATTGTTGCATAAGTTTTGAAAAAAAATTGATTTTAGTGTTTCATTTGTTTTTTTTAAATATCAAGTATTTTATAGAAACTTTATACTTTCATACTTTTATTATTATTATTATTATTTTAAATCAATTTTGTGCATTTTTTACACTGCAAATGTTACATTGAATGTTCAATGTTTTTTAATATATTTTCAGTCCTGTTGAACACTGCTTTTCCTATGATGATGCATTATGGAAAACGGAAATATTTTTTTATTTGTTATTTATTATTCACTTCATCATTAGGGTAAGGCTATTTTTAATTTGTTAGCATTTTTTTGTTTACATATTAAAATAGGAAAATGGCTGCACTAAGCATCAAATCTTTGTTATTTCATATGTTGTTTTTTCTCTACAAAGTTTGTATTTGTATAACAGTTTATTGCTGCACAAGACAAACTAGTGTTTTGGTCAACAGATTTGATGTCAATTACAGATATGTTAACAATTCCAACAATATTTTTTCCTCCGGTATTTGATAATCAATACTGGATAGGTTTGTTATTTCGTTTATTTTGATACAAATACATGTAAATTATTTAAGTTCAAACTACTAGTTAGTAGTGTTGATATATACATATATACATATATGATATATACACACACACACACACACACACACAAATATATATATATATATATATATATATATATATATATATATATATATATATATATATATATATATATATATATATAATATATATATATATATATATATATATATATGTACATATATATATATATATATATATATATATATATATTATATATATATATATATATATATATATATATATATATATATATATATATATATATATATATATATATATATATATATATATATGTATATGTGCACTAGTGTTAGAAATAGCTTAAGCTAGGACCAAAATTGGCAAACAATAAAATATTTTATTAAATAATACTAAAAAATATCAATGTTTTTACGAAGTTTTATTATTAGGAGCTGTATTATATGCATGTAATGTATAATATATATTTTACATACATATTTTATTAATTATTTGTATTGTATTTGTTATTACAACTACCATGTTTACTCTTATACTAATGTATAAGTTGATATATGCACATTTAATATTAACTGATTTTTATTTATATTTCAGAGTACTTTGTTTTGTATTAAAACTTGTAAACAATACATTATAGTTGGTACATTAGGTAGTTGGTTAAGGTTGTAATTAATTTGGTGATAACTAAATTATATTTAAAAATTTACTTTTTAACTTATAAAAACCTTTCTAGATGACAAGTTATTATTATGATAAAGGAAATAACAACAAAGATAAAATTTCTAGAGTCATTTAATTAATTTAATGTAATCGGACTTAATTAAATGTAATTGAATTACATTGTATATACACTACTGTATTGTTTTTATAATGGTTTTGAGTAATTAATAATATTATGAGTAATTTACTAGTGGTAAAAATTTAATAATTATATTTAGATATATATTTAATGAATATATTTTATATTTGGATAGTTTTTTTGTTAAGTACAAAACAGGGTATGAACTATGAGAGTTCAAAGAATGTTAGAAAAATATTCATCTCACTTGACACAAGAAAAAATAAAAAATAAAAAATTAAATAAACAAATTAGGTGTGATGCTGGTAAACATATAATGACTGAATAAAACTTATAATGACTGAATAAATATCAGCTGAAAACAATTGCCAGAAAATCATAACAACTGTATTGTGCAATGTATTGTGCAACTAGTAACAACTGTATTGTACAACAAACAGATTTAATGTAATTTAACTGTATTGTGCAACAAACAGATTTAATGACTCTAACTAAATTACAAGTGCACTTGTAACAAACAGATTTAATGACTCTAAATTGAAAAAATGTGATAAAAACAAATGGTATAAACAATTTGAGTTACTACAAATTAGTTTGTTCTAATTGTAAGCGTGATTTATAAAATTTTATTTACAAAAACAAACCTATTAAAAGTTTGTGAAAGAAAAAAAAATGTGCAAAACAAAAAATGAAGAAAAATTCATGTGAAATGCAATTTTGAAATTAAATTTGAACAAAAATTGAAAGTTTGAAATCAAAATTTTGAACAAAAATAGAAAAGTTTAAAAGTTATTATCTTTACTATCTTTTTTATAGCAAAAAAAAAAAAGCAATTTTAAAAAATCAAAATCTTTTTTCAAATAAACCTCCTTTAAATCTCTCCCTTTTTAGTTCATAGAAGATTTAAACTAAAAAGGGAGCAGTTTTTTGCAATAAAATTAATTATAAAATGATGATCAAACCAATCACACAAACCTATTGTAACAAATCTATTGTAACAAACCTATTGTAACAAACCTATTGTAACAAACCTATTGCAGCAAACCTATTGTAACAAACCTATTGTAGCAAACCTATTGTAACAAACCTATTATAACAAACCTATTGTAACAAACCTATTGCAACAAACCTATTGTAACAAACCTATTGTAACAAACCTATTCTAATAAACCTATTGTAACAAACCTATTGTAACAAACCTATTGTAACAAACCCATTGTAACAAACCTATTGACGTCCACTGTAATCTCTGGAAGAGAATATTAATACAACAAATACACTTTTTTTGAGTATCAGGAAGTAATTACAATGAAAGAATGCTCTTATGTTAAATGATGAGTTATGTCAGATTGTGTTTTAGTGAAACTAGAGATAATAGCTCGCATGATCAGCAACTATGGTAACTATGATTCAACTTTACAATGGTTTACTACAGGTTGCATCTCTTATCTACAATTAGAACTTTTTATTATTATCTTTATTTTTGAAACAAGTATTGATTATTTTTTAAGTTATTTTTTAGGGCACTAAAGCATTTTTTTTATGCCTTTGTTGGAGTTCTGAGATTTAAGCAAAAAAAAAATAATTAAAGTTTGTCTGATTTATTATCATTAAATTTATTTATATAAAAATTTATAAATATTTGTTTTACCACATTTTTTATAATTTTTATAATTCTGTGTGTTATGGCTATCCATATGGTTTTATTATGTTTGTCCAAGCTTATCTATTTTTGCTTAAGTTTTAATTATAAAACTTATTTTGAATGAATAAATATAAGATTGTTCTATTAAAGTACAGCAAAATGTCTTCTTTAAAACAAAGTCTAAAAAGTAAATAACTTTTTTAAACAATTTGTTATATTTTTTGTTAAAAATTTTAAAGTAATTTTTGATGTTTTAATTAAAATTTTGCCATTAAAACAGTAATAATAAAAAATTTTGTTTTTTAGGTTTACGATTTTTTCGTGTCATTTATTTGAGAAAGCTTGGTGGTATTTTACAGAGTTTTAATGTTTTTGAAATGGGGTGAGTTTAGGATTATAACCTGTTGGTTAAACCTTTCTTTTTTACATACAAATTGGTTTGTGCATATATAAACAATACTTTTTTTTTGTTTGCCCATACATTGATTTTTTCATTCCAGTATATTTAAGTTGTATAGTCAGTGTAGTTAGTTTAAAGAAAACATTTTCAATAATGTTAAATTTATTTTTAACCGACCTCAAAAACTTTAAGGTTGGCAGTTAGGTTGGCATTGCCAAATGCTGACCCTAGTTTTGAGGGTTGTATATATATATATATATATATATATATATATATATATATATATATATATATATATATATATATATATATATATATATATATATATATATATATATATATATATATATATATATATATATAAATATATATATATACATATATTTATATATATATATATTTGGTTGTGTGTATATATATATATATATATATTTATATATATATATATATATATATACATATACTTATATATGTATATTTGGTTGTATATATATATATATATATATATATATATATATATATATATATATTGTATATATATATATATATATATATATATATATATGTGTGTGTATATTTATATTTATAGCTTATTTATTATTATAACTTTTTTTAATGTATATATATATATATATATATATATATATATATATATATATATATATATATATATATATATATATATATATATATATATATATTTATATACATATATATATATATAATATATATATATATATATATATATATATATACACATTAAAATAAAATTTGGCATATAGTTGATGGTAAGTCCTAATTTATTTAGATCATCTTTTGAAATGTTAGCATTGATAGGCAATTTTCTTTCCATCTGGTTATTATCTGCAGGAATGGTTCATTTAGTAAGTTGTTTTTTTAACTTAGTTATAGTTTTTACAGTGCTGACATCTATTGAATTTTATAATGATGCCATCAATTTAAATCAAAAAATAACCTTCAAGTTTTAATGGTAACATTACCAAAATCCATCATAATTGAGATCCTTTTCTCCACTTTGGAACTTGATTTTTCATCACATCATCTCATCACTTCTTCCTGATTGAGAACCTCATTCCAGCTTTTATTATTAATGTGGATAATTATTTGATCCAAAAATTTTGGGGCAACTAAAATGTTCTAGAATACAACCAGCCAAAGGTTTTATAGAACATTTTAGAGCACTCAGCATTTTTTTCAAAAAATTTAATAAATGGTTGGTTTTTTAACCACAAAGAAAATTGGTGGTATTCTTAAATTTGATTTTAAAAAGTGATTTTATATACAATTAATCTTTTAATGTTGTCATCATTAAAAGATTATTTGTGCTATAGCCATTTTTAACAAATATTATCAATTTTTTTATAATTATAACCAAATTTGTTACAAATTTTTTTTTTAATTTTTGATTTTTTTTTAAAAAAAAGGTTTTTTTTGTGACGTCAAGCTCGCTTTTATAATGAGTGAAACAGCTGTGTTTATGCTTTCATCGTGAACGAACACACTTTTTTAAATTAGTGTATTTTTACAAACTAAAAAAAAAAATGTTTTTAAAACATTTTATTGGCTTAATATAAACTCTTGCAAAATTCACCTGATATACTCTTTGTGAGACTAATTTTAAGTTCGTATATTTAATTCTCAAATCTTATTATAAATGGCTGTTATTAAGTTAATATGATTCATCAAGATTCTAATAGCCAGATGTTTGACCTGGGCATATATGTAATAACTTTCAATATGCTGATACTGAGCATATATGTAGCTATTATAAATTTGTATTGAATCCTCTGACTATTTATTAATGTACTTTCATTTCAAGACCCCTGCTTCACTTAATCATTTACTTCATTATTTATTTTTTTCTTTCTTGTCAAAATTGCACTCTTTTCTTGTTCACTCAATGTGGTTTCTAATCAGTTAAATTAACATGATTATGAATTTATGAATTTATCATTATCATTAGTCTTGTCATAGCTGTTATTGGTCACTTTAATACTTATCATATTAAATGACTTAGCTCTAGTACTACTGACCTTTCTGTTACTAAATCTTAAAATTTTTGTTTTTCTTAATCTCTTACTCACTTGATTAACTTGTTTTCCAGGCCACTATAATCACATACATTTACTCCACAGTTTGTTTTTGGTTATGGAGCAAAAAATCTTTTGTTCCATAACCAAAAACAAACAATATTTTTGGAACAAAAAATCATATTTGAAGAGCAATTATTTAGTTTAAATAAAATGACAATTTTGCAAGAGAACACTTGAAAATAATTTAAATAATTGCTTCTTGCTTAGACACGCTTTTTTTTGTAAAATGTCATTATTTAAATATGTGTTCATTTTAAGAAGTTGCAATTGAAAAAGTTTTCATATATTGGTGTACTTTAAAAATATGTTAAATGGTAATACTATACCCTTTTTTATATGATTTGAGAAATTTCCTGCCTACAAATTTATACAATTAATTATATTTACAGGTTGGTACAGATAAGAGAACCATAAAATTTTTTGAAATTTGGCAACAAGCCAATCAAGCAACTGCTATTTCTACATTTATGATTTTGTTTATCCAGACGTTGTTTATCATTTATTTATGCAGCTCCTAGTTGCCTGTTTCCGTTTTCCCTATAAGAAATCAGTCATTTTTATTAGAAAACAGTAAGAAAGACATTTGAGGTTATCAGATACTTCAATATTGAGTTTTCATTTGCCTCAAAAATTAGCCATGCTACTAGATCACACTTTCACAGAAAGGATTGTATAAAATAGACCTAATTAGTTCTGTCGGCTAGAGCAATATGTAACTCAGAAAATGCTTATACCACCATTGAACATCAAGCCATTTTTCAAAGAGCTTTGAAAAAATTTTTGGGGCTTTTTTTTTAAATAATATACATTCATTTGCAGCAATTAATTTATAACACTTAAAATTCAAGGTCAAAAGTTTTAATACATTTTATAATTTAAAAACAACTTAAATTGTTGCAATCTTTTAACAGCCAAAATAAAAACTGTTTACATTATAGCTGTAAAAAGGCTGGATAATTACAAAAAATTAAAAAAAAATTTCTATGTTCCTGCTTTTAAACTTTTTGCTTAAATGTTACTGCTACAGTACAATTTGAATAATTTTGAGTGTAGTAAAATTTAAACAGCCGAAATAAAAACAAGGCTGTTTACATTTTAGCTGTAAAAAGGCTGGGTAATTAAAAAAAAAAGAACTAAAAAAAAATTTATATGCTTTTAATTATTTTGCTTAAATGTTACTGCTACAGTAAATTTTGAGTGTAGTAAAATTTAAACAGTCAAAATAATTAAACAATGTAATACGACAGCAAAAAAATTATCGAAAGCTATGTATAAAAATATAACTTTAACTATCAAAATACAAGATGTAGAGGTTTACAGTTAAAATGTAAATGTTGGTTTGCATCATGGCTCCATTTTCAGCTCTTCAGTTTTTATTATAAATTTTCTGAGTTATTTTACCATGAAAACTATTCTATACAGATAACACCATTATGTGCCCAGAGTTTTATTATGTATATATTTTATTATGTATAAATGGTCAATAAAGTCTATGAGACCTAGTTTTGATAAACCAAAGAGGATAATGATAAGATAGATTATGCATCCATCTGATCTTTATCTTGTTTATTTTGTGTGTTCCTAAACAATAAGAATGTATTTGATAGGATATGTCAAGCAAGGTAAAGGGGGTTTGACATGTAGAGTATAAAGCTACAGATAAATGGTATCCATATGTCGAAAGTTGGCAGCATGGTATCAGTAGTGATACCAGCATTGTTGAAAATTGACAATTAGACAAGAAAATGGTAAAAGTAAATATAGTTTTTGAAAGATTGTTTGGAAAATGAAATAAAAGACATTTCAAATTAAAGAAAAATAAATATCATAACGGGGTATATACTCTAAGATGATAATATATATATATATATATATATATATATATATATATATATATATATATATATATATATATATATAAATTAGTTAAAACACTTATCTAAATTTTTTCTTCAATAACTTGTTTCTCCGAAAGCTTGCTTCCTGATGAACCTACTGATGGAGAAACATGTTGTTGAAGGAAAAAAATTAGATAAGTGTTTTTACTAGTTTATTATATGCCAAAGACATTTTTTTTGTGTGTATTTATTATTGGTTTGAGATAAAAAAAATCTTATTCTGGTAACAAATCATACATGGTAGGCCCTGTAGCTGTTATATATAAAACAAATGTTACCACAACTTCTTATTTTTAAATTTTTTTCTTTATTACCTTTTTTAAATCTTGTTGTTAATATATATTTTATATACTTTAATTAAAAATCTATACTAAATACCAATTAATAAAATTTTATATTTTTATATTTAGCTGGAAAACACTGGGGATCCATGGAGCCCAATCCTTTACTCAAATAACCAAACACTAAGTTATTTCAATTGTACCTATTATTTACTGGTTTGAATTTTTTTAATTTTATGATATAAATGGCATTATTACTGTTTAAATTTACTTCTTGGTGCCAAATAAATGTCAAATACAACTCCTCTTGTTTTTAACTTTGAACTTTTTTAGACTCCCTATTTAATGATTCGTTTTTTATTAAAACTAAGATTGCGTCTCTCTCTTTCTATATATATATATATATATATATATATATATATATATATATATATATATATATATATATATATATATATATATATATATATATATATATATATATGAATATATATATATATATATATATATATATATATATATATATATATATATATATATATATATATATATATATATATATATATATATATATATATATATATATATATATATATATATATATATATATATATATATATATATATATATATATATATATATAACACTTAACAAAAATTATATTCATAAAAAACAGTAACTTGACTGTTGTGGTCCCTTTGGTCTTGGGGAGGTGAATAAATTAGAAAAAAAAAAATTATCTTTTTAGAAAATTATTAGTTTTATTATAAATTTTAATAGCTTAGAGTTTTATATGAGCTTATTTTAAACTATGGTTGTTTTACTGTTAAGGTAACAATGTCTACAATTGGTTATGGTGATGTTTTATGTATTACATTTCTTGGAAAAATTTTTACAATGCTGTTCATTTTTGTTGGACTGGTATTATTTAATTATTATAATAGTTATTTCCCAGATAGCAAGCTTACATTGACCCAACATTGGGCCAATGCATGGTGATACATTAGCCCAACATTAAATTCGATGTGGGACCATTACAGGTTAGATCTTTGTTTAGGCATTGGCCCAACATCGTATTCAACATTGGGTAAATGTTGTAATACTGACCTAATGTTGTATACAATATTGATCCAATACTGTATGTAACATTGGGCTAATGTTGTATACAACGTTGGGCGAATATTATAAAAAAAACAAATTAAGTTTTGTCCTAAATAATTAATCTAAAAAATTCCCTGTAAAAATTTAAGGAGTAATTTTGTTATTGGCTGAGCTACTTGTTATTATTATTTTGGTGCGCACGACTGCAATCAACATTTTTCCTATTCTGGTTTTTTGTTCTCTCCCTGCATAGTTTAATTTTACAACTAGACCGTTTTTAAAAAATCTTAGTAAATAACGTATACAATCTCCTTCGCCTTTAACTCCAATTTGTCCTAAATAATTAATCTGCAAAAATATACAATCAATCAATCAATTATACTTGTTGACAGGCTCAAGGTCCAATATAATATACAATAGGTAAAATAAATTGGATATAAAAAATAGCGCACTTGTATATACACAGGGAAAAAATATATAATAAAGTGTTATAAATATAACTTAGCTCTCTATTTACAACCTGGCATCTCCTTTTATACAACTTGGCAGTAATTAAAGTTACTTTTGGTTAGACTTAAATTCATATAAAATCTCATTTACAAAAAGTGTTCAAAGAGTATTTTGTTTAGAGTACATAAATTGTATAATGATATCATACAAAATGCATAACTCATAAACCATAATGCCTCATTGCTTAACTCATAAATCATGCATCATTGCATAACTCATAAGTCATAATGCACCATCAATGCACTCATATATGCATAACTCATAAATAATAAATATGCATAAATGGATCATAAAAAAATATTTACCATTTGCTTAAGTATTTTCTTCTCCTTTAATTTTTCTTCTAGATTACTTAAATTCTCTGCTTTTAGTGGCAATGACACTGTGTCATTGTGTCACTGTGTCAGGCAAATCATTTATTATCATATCTTTGTTACTCTTTCTAATTATGCTTAAAACTAAATTTGATGTGTTTTTATAGTTCACCATGTTGCACTTCAATGCTTGCCAATGGTGTCAATAATACCTGCATATCTTTAGGGGATACAATTTTATCTTGAAACAATAAAGTTAATAATATTCTTAAGAAACTATACAAAAAATTACATATAACATTTAGAATTTATGAAAATAAGTACAACATTCACTTATAAAGCAAATAAGATTAAAGGCAGAGGGGCAATTTTTTAATCATAAAAATATATACTTGCTAATTGATTCATAATATTTTTATGAATTATAGAATTTGCTCGTGTGAATTCAATTTCTGGCACTGACACAAAACAACTCGTTATGTTTGAGATTTTTTATTTTACAGTGTACACTGCACTGTAAAACAAAAAAAAAAAAAAATAAAACAATGTTTTTCCAGTGTTTTTAAATAATTTTTTAAAATATTTTTATTCTGAATTTTAATAATAATACAACTTTTAAAAGTATTGTCATCTATAAAAAAATTTTATTACCTTACTCAATTAGATAAATCTAAATAGACATTTATATAATGAAAAATAATGAACCATTTGCAACTTATATGAATTTTATGTTTTCTTTCCTAAGAGTTGATTTAAAATGTCAAAGTTGGTGTAAGCTTTGATATGTTGATTAATAATAATAAAAATAAAAGTAATATAATAAATAAAATGTCCATTAACATTCTGACTTTTTGACTGTAATATTTAAAAAAAGTCTTTAAAAATTTGTAAAAGTTAAAGCTATGAATAAAGATTTCTAATCATCAGACAAATAAACTTTTGAATTTAAACTTATCATTTAATAAATTTTGTTTATTCAACTTCTTGCAAACATTGAACTTCTGTAAAAAGTTTGGAGTTACAAGTAAATCCCAAAGTTTATTAATACTTTTTGTATTATTATATGAAATTGAGAATAAATTACTACTAAAATAATATAAAGAATAATCTACACCAAGATATATACAATTTTTTTGTTTCTTCAATCTTTATTTGGCTGATCATTTTTGCTGACATCGTTTTTTGTCACCAGAGCAGAGGTTTAGCCTTCTGCGAAGTTCAATTTTGCATTGCTATAAAAATCAATAAATCAATTCATTAATAATTAAGTTAAAACTAAAGTTTTAAATTTGTTAACTGCTGTACGCAAACTAAATATGAACAATATTCAATAAAATTAATTAAAAACTATTAAAATCAAGAATAATGTCCTTCTGCATCAAAAATATAGAACAGATACAGGGTTGTTTTGATTTAAATTGGTTGCTTTAAATCAGTTGATTTAAATTAATTTAAATCGTGATTTAAATTGAACAAATAAAAATAATGATTTAAATTGAGCTTTTGATTTTAATTGTTTATAATGATTGTTTATTGATTTAATCTCATAATTCAATCAATTATTATAGACTAGTCATTGGTCTAATAATAAAATGTCTGAGAATATTAGAAAGTAGAACTTAGATTCTAGTAACATCACTTTTTGGTACACTGTGTTAATATGATAGTAGACAGGGTTTCACAATCAAACACAGGAAAAACAAAACAAAATAAACATATTCAAAATGTAAAACATCAGCTTTTAACAACTGCAATGCCACTGTAATAGTTATATATAAAATTTTATGTCTAATAACACTAGTGATATACATTTGGCAGGTGTTATTAATACCTTTATGAACTAAAAATCATGAATAAATAAGAAAATTTTTCATTTAATACTTATTACTGTATGACATTTCTACAGCATTTCTATGACACTTGATTTTTTTAATGAAGAAGACATTTTAAATGTCTTCTTTATTAAATAAATCAAACATTTGAAACATCAATACATTAATAAGTATTGAAAGTTAACTGTAAGATCTTACACAAAAATAAATTGTTGTTGCTTTTCTTATTCCATTGATAATTTAGATTGTAATAAAATATTATAAGCGCATTATTTAAATGTTAATTAATATTTCATTATTTAAAAAAAATTAAACATTAAGTCAGGAGAACCTCTTGAAGTTGACTTCTCATGAGATTACCTTCTAAGATTCTTAGAAAATTAATAAATATAGGCTATTTTGTTTATTTTCATAATTTAAAAAAATGGAAAGATAATATCAAAACCTTTCTTTATTTTGTAAAACAATACCATTTTTTTAAAATGTTATGCAACAAGTTTTAAAAATACCGAAAAAATATACCATATATAAGCATACCTAAAAATGATCTGCAATTACCTTGGCCGAATATTGGCTTAAAAGAGCTATGGCATCAGATTTTTGTAGCACCGGTACTACATTGACCAAAATGTTAGCTCAACATTGTATATTATTTGCAAAAAACTGATTCGGAGAATTGAGATATTATGTAAAAAAAAAACATTGGCTAAATGTTGGCCCAATGTAGTACAATATTTGCAAAAAACCAATTTGCAGAATTCAAATATTATGCCAAAAAAAAAACATTGGCTAAATGTTGACCCCATCGAAATAAATTTGCTAATGTTAAAACTTACGTTGGGCCAATGTAAGCTTGCTGTCTGGGGTATGATATAAGCACTTTTGCTGACTTTCTTTTTTTATTATTATTACATTTCAAAATTATTTCTTACTTTAATTATTTTACTATTATTTTTAAATTTTTTATTTTTTACTTTTAAGTTTTTAGTTATTTTACTTTTATTTTTTAAGGTTTTAAATTGTAATTTTTATATTAGTTATATTTTTACTCAACTTACACAAGTCAACTTACACAAGTCTTTTTCTTTTTTAATTTTTGAACTTTGCTAAAAATTATGTTTACACATATTAGCATTAATGTTTTTTCTGCATTCTGAGGCCTTACATTGTTGTAAGCATAATTTTTATTTTGTAATCAATTTTTCGTTTTATAAGTTTTTTGTTTGGTGATATATTTGTTGTATATCTTTGTTCATATTAGTGTTTATAAAATAATTTTTTTTATTATTGTAAGTACTGTTTAGGTGCATTGTCTGTCTTATTTATTCTTAAATATTCCTCTATTAATCTTTAATTTTGTCTTGACAACTGTCAAAATATGCTTTGTTCGAAAAATAATTATCCTTTACTCTAATGTACTTCATTTCTTTTCTCAGGCGTTCACTGGTCGTGTGTGACCACTCAGTAAATTTTGTATGTCAAAATTTTAAAATAATATTGGGCCTGTAACGGCCCAATATTATTTTAAAATTTTGAACAAGTATTTTCCAAAAAACAAGTATTTTCCAAATCACAATTACTATCACCGCGGAAGAAGATGTTTGTCTCTGGAAGAGACAATGCTAGTTTTTTTAGAATTAGAAGTCAGTTAGAAATCCATGCATAGGTATTAAATCCATCATGGTTTTCTGGAGTATGGCTGGGCTAGCTGGTGTAGTTCAGAGATAAATCTTTTACGCTGATTACTAACAACTCTACTGAATGACATTAGCAGTACAGACTTATTACACCTATTCACCTAAATGAAATATTACACCTATTCACCTTTATGCACATACAGCCAGTTACATCTTTTTTCATGTTTTTTGTTCTTTTATTAGATAAACTCTTTGTTTGAACTCATCTTTATTTAGATAATATTTTCTTTTAATAGATAGTATGTGGTTGGAATGATTTGTATGTTATGTATATGTGGTTATCATATGTGGTTGATTTTTCATTTAAGGATTCATATATATATATATATATATATATATATATATATATATATATATATATATATATATATATATATATATATATATATATATATATATATATATATATATATATATATAAATATATATATATATATATATATATAAATAAATATATATAAGAGGGATTCTTTCCGCTCTTGACATTCTAGCCGCTTTTGACATGTTTTATTGATGTATGACTTTTTGTTGTTATTTTGTTATGCTCTTAAAATAACGCCTAGTTTGGACCATAGAAAAACTTTATTTCTAAGCAATATTTTTTATCATGAAAAATTTTTTTAGTTATAAAATTATTTAGTTATATTTTATAAAATACTCTCAGAAGATCCAACAAAAAGTATAGCAAGAGATGTTAACAATCTTATTGACTCTTCATCATATGATTGATAAAAAAACATTGAAGTTCCTTCATCCAAAAATACCCCTTTTTTACACTCCTGTTTTATGGCCTTCCCAAAATTCATAAGATAGGCATTCTTTTAAGAACAATTGTTTCTGGTCGTGACGGGCCAATCAACAACTTATTGTTCCTTAACACAGAATTTATTCAGCCAGTTTCTAAACAATTACACTCCTTCAATATCATGTACTAGAAACCAACAGTTACATCCTTGTCATGGCTGATGTTATATCTTTGTATACAAACATTCCTCACCCTGAAAGTATTGACGCCATGAAATTTTATTTAAAAAGAGCATAAAACGCCCACCTATTGCTTTTATTAAGATTATATAAGAAACCATCCTAACCCACAGCAACTTTCAATTTTCGACTGAAATAAATTCTTTTGCTCTTTATTTCAGTCCTAACATTTATAGACAAATCTCTATAACTTATGCTTGTTGTCAGATCATGGAAAGAATTATCAATAAATTATTGATCAATTAAGTTTGATTGATTGAATAAATATTCCATCAAGCAAAAAACATATTAAAATGGGGTTTTAACAAAACTTTTGAGACTTAGAATACTTTGTCAATGTTATCAACTTGGATTGCCTTAGTTATCAACTTGGATTGCCTCAGTTATTGATTGCCTCAGTTATTGATTAAGATAAAGTAAATCATGAAGAGCTGACTGAAAATATGAAAGCAATCATTCTTTGTGAATATGGAATAACAATATATATATATTTTTTGTCATTTTTCTTCAACAATGACAACTAGACCTAATTTAGATAAGTAACATTTAGTTATACTGTGAACCTTTCGTATATACATTTAGTTATACTGTGAACTCTTCGTATACTTCTGGTATATACTACATAGTTATTATAATAGTTATATATGATACAAGCACTTTTGCTGATTTTCTTTTTTATTATTATTACATTATAAAACATTTCTTTAATTTTTTAAATTATTTTACTATTGTTTTACTCAGTTTTAAGATTTTAAATTGCACTTGACAATATTTTTTATATTAATTATATTTTTATGTTAATCAACTTATTCAATTCTTTTTTAACTTTTGAAATCTTTTCTACCATTGGTTTTTATTGGTCCTAACATTTAGAAGACAAATTTCTGTAACTTATGCTTGTTGTCAGATCATGAAAAGAATTATCAACAAATTATTGATAAATTAAATTTGATTAATTGAATAGAAATTCAATCAATCTGTAAATATGGAAGTTATACAGTTAGTTATACAGTCAACCCCATTGTATACTTCTGTATAATAAATATTAATTTATTAATATATTGTTATTTTCTTAGTTATTTTAAATAACTTTTCATCAGATTCCTCAGAATACATTTAATAAACAAAAAAATAGAAGAATATTGTTTTTATTTTTAGGGTTTATTTGCATCATATATACCTGCTATTGCTGATTACGCTAGCTCTCATTCAAAATACAATAAGATGTTTTATTCAACACCAGGAAAAAAGTATGCTTTTCCATTTATCTTTATAAATTTTAATCTAAATAATACTATTTGTATCTTGTATATATTGTTTATATAAATTACGTTGAACTATGAGTTATGTTCTTCTTATTTAATTGAGATTAATTAGAATTGAGGATTTTTTCAAAAATAAAAGAAATAATTCAGATTGAAGCTAAAAAGTATTATAAACATTTAAAAGCAGGGCTGGCGCCAAAGCATTTGGTACCCTAGGCGAATCTGACACACTGCGCTCCAACCCATCCTCCTCAACTTACTTTCACAAAGGAATGCTTAAGTTATGTTATTACATTTTGTATTTACATTTGGAAGAAAATATACATGCATAATCATAAATAAGTGCATATTTGTGTAACTTTATAATATATTAATAAATAATTTCAAAACTTCACTTTTCACGCTTTTGTTTTTGCAAATGTAGAAACAAGTTCCATCAGGTCAATGTTTCTAGCAATATCATGTTTACTTGAAAAAGTAGCTAATCCAGGAAGTCTTTCATGCTGCATAGACGTTCTCAAAAATATTTTTATCAGTTTGAGTTTTGAGAAGGTTTGCTCACTGCTAGCCACGGAAACTGGAAGTGTAAAGAGGATTCTTAACGCTATAACCGTATTGGGGACATAATCTGTTAAATCTTTTTTTAATACAAAATTTAGTAAATTTAAATTTAGTAAATTCTTGAAATTAATTTCAGTTTACTACATAGATCAATTGTGTTAATACCTTTGGAGTCTCCATGCTGCAAAGCTTTTTCAAGATTTAAGCAATGTTCCATAACCTCTTGGCTAGTTACACTCTATAAACTGTGAACATCATGGAGAAAACCAAACAACGAACTTATTGTTTGTATAAGAGTAAATCTTTCTTCAACTGATTTTATTGCTGTGTCAAAAATAGCAAAGTAAAAGTTTATTTTGAATTTTTCTTTTGGATCTTGAATAGATTTGTTATCTCCTTCATAAGTAAATTTTTTATTCTTTCTTCTGATATGGGTTGGTTTGGGTTTAAAAAGTGCAGATATCTCTATAAACTGACTGCAATTTAAACTGCATCTACTAGTATTTTGTTAAACTCCAAACATTTCTGCGCTTTACAATAAACTTCTTTATTTTTCAAGGTTTATGTTTATGGTGCCATGCATGTTTAATTATATTGCCTGAAGTTGATTACAAGTCATATTGCTCTCAAACAACACGTCGTATCACACAACTAGAGAAACGACAAACTTAAAACTAGAAATAGCGTTTGCAATAAACCGTGAATCTGCCTGTGTTGAATTACCAGATGTTCCTGCTAAATTTCCACAATCTCTGCCAGAGCCACAATCATCCACAATCTCTGCCAGAGCATTGTAGATATCACCAAGTTAATAACTGAAAGGTTTTAAAGCATCAATTCGGCATTCCCATTATGATTCACTTAGTGGTTTAACAGTGAGATTAGAAACATGTCATGTTAAAACTTCTCATTGACGAGTTGATGCAGAAATGAATACATATACACGTTACACCAGATCAAAAAAGGCTGTTGCTTCTAAGCAACATTTTACAGCATCATTAACAGCCAAACTCAATGTATGTACAAAGCAAGGAATAAACAATGCTTAGGGATTGACATCTAAAATTCTTTGTTGGACATCCTTATTTTTTACCCTCATATTTCTGCCATTGTCATATCCTTGACCGCGTAAGTTTTCAATAGATAAAGACAACTCGCCTAACTGCTAAATGATAGTTTCAGCCATACCAGCACCAGTTGTCTTCTTTAGAGCCACAAAATCTAAGAAATGACCTTTTATAGATGCTAATGCTGCAATGTCATTTTCTGGATTGGAAATCAAATCCACAAAGCGAATGATCATAGTCAATTGTTCAACATGACCAGCATCAGGTGTGCAATCTGTTATTTAAAAGTACTTAGCATCATAAGCAGATGTTAGAAATTTTTTTTTTTGCATTGAACAAAAGATGAATTAATGTTTTTGCCTAGGTAATGTACATGTGTTTCATTGTCTTTATTCTTTTGAAGATAAGCATCTATAAGTGGGTCAAACAAAGCTAAAAATTCCACAAATATCAGAAAGTTTTCATTATCAGCAGTGTTCAGTTTCTCATATCTTCCACAAAAAGCAAGATTTTGCATACCAAGAACTCTAACTAAAGCTACTTTCAAGATTTGCTGTCAATACTGTTCCTCTTTTTTAACAAGACGTAAATGTTCTTCATCAATTGTTTTATTGTTTCGCAGTCGCAACTCAAATTCTTTCCATGACTGAAAATTCGCTAAATGTTCACTGAAAATTCTCCCTGAACTGACATGTTTTTCCAATCATGTGAACCATTGGAAGAAAGAGATGACACAGCTGTTGTGCTACTGGTAAACAGTTTGCAGCAGAAGCAATACACAAAGTCATTACTTACAGAATACTGCAGCCAATGTCTGTGAACTTCATCTCCATTGACAAGTCTGCTTCAACTTGATTGTTTAACCCATCTGTGTCATTTTCATTACTCTGCTGTGAACATAGATACTTCAACAACCAGCCTATTTTGTTATAAACCCTTCATTTGCAGCCTATCCCACCAGAAATTTTTTTCTATCTGCCATCATGGATTGAAATAATAAAGAAAACTGCTAAAAATAATAAAAATGATCACCTTGTGTATCTTTAATACCTTAAAGTTAAAATACTATTTTAACTTCTATAAAAACATTTATAAATAATTTAATTAATAATTTATTAATATTAATAAAATTAATAATTTTATAACTCATAAAAGTTTTAAAGTTTTTTTAAAAAATTTTAAAGCTCCATAAATATAAATAATAATCCTCTAAAAGTATAAAAACACAACATAAATCAATTAATTTTTTACTAATTCATAATTGCTATTAATGTAACAAAAATCATAGAATGTTAAATTAAAATTAGTTTCTTACTATCTTTGAATTAACATGCCAGCAAAAACAATTTTCTCAATAAAGTTAAACATGTTAAAATTTTCTATAAATGAGGAATGAAAACTTTGCATTGTATCAATTAGTATAAAAACTCATTCTGCGTAAAAAGTATAAATAGAAAATAGAAATTGCGTCAAATGACAAAAAAGTATCAAAGTTGGCAATTTGACTTTTTATTTGATGAGATTCAATAGAGTACTTTTTCAAATATCCTAAATTTAATTCAAAGAGATTTGAAAAAGGTTTTAGCAATATTTTTAATATTATTATTTTTTATGTAGCTAGTTTTAGTACTTTCTGCCCTAGGCGGCCGCCTAGTTCGCCTAATGGTTAAACCCTGTATAAAAGTATTAAAAACATATAAAAGTATTATAAGTAGTTGTTTATGTTAGTAAAATAGTAAAAAATTTTCTTCTTTTTTTTTTTTTTTTGCATTAAATGTTTATAAAAAAAATATTTTCCAGGCATGTCATTGTTTGTGGCTATATCACTTATGAAAGTATTTCTTCCTTCTTAAGAGACTTTCTTCATCCTGATCGAAATGACCATCTTACTAATGTTGTGTTCTTGTCACCGTAAGAACCTATTAGATATTGAAATTTTTTTAAATGTTATTTCAAAAATTTAAAGGGTTTTAAGTTTGTTTTGTAAGGATTCTAATTATTACAATGATTAATATGAATAATAAAAGATTCTAATAAATACAATAAAAAAGAGTTCTATGAAAAATGACGTACACTAAATATACAAACTTAAGTTTGACCAAAATTCAACAAGTTATGAAAAATAAACTATTATTCATTTTTTATTAAACTAAAATATTATTTATTCTAAATATTTTTTATGTCTATTATAAAAATAATAAATATTATTTATTCTAAATATTTATTATGTCTATTATACTAAACTATTACTTATTAATTATAAAGTTTAATTAAATAAATAAAGTTTTTTTAGTTCTTTGCACCAGTTTTTCAAGATAAAGTTCTTTTATTTAAAAGGATTACTTTTTAATTATAAGATATTTTACTAACAAAAACAATAAAATATGAACATTAAAACATAAACGTTTTTGCTTTTTTATTTAATAGTTGTAAAAAAATGTATGTATATTATTTTCATGAAGAAATAAGTATGTATATTATTGTTAATAATCAAGTAAGTACTATTGAAGTAAGTAAAAAGTAAGTAATATAATTTATAAGAAAAAAATCCTGGTTTCTTAATTTATTAAGCAAAAAATTTTTAGTCAATCTTATCAGTTTAAATTCAAAAACAATTCAAACAAGAAAAGCACTATCAGTGACAGTTTAGAAAAAAGTGACTGGAAAAACATATCCATAGAAAAGTAGAATTTAAATATTTAGAAACTTATCTGGCTTACATTCTTTAAGAGCATTAGCAGCACTTAAGGGTCGATTATCTGGTTGAGATCTAAGCCACATTTTTTGCCACATAATTATTTCTTCATCAAAGAAGTTAGAGTTTCTTTTTGAATCATTTATGTATTCATAATGCTTTTTAAATTTTGAATTTTTTGCAATTTTCATTATGCTTCTTAAATCATTTATGACAGTTCCACTGAAGTTTTCACGCAGACAATAGAAGGTGCAAAACTTAACAATAACTCAACTTGTATCTGATGATTTAAATTTATCTTTCAGTTCAACTAAAATATGATCTATAAATGGAATGACAAGAGACCTTTTGAAGTATTCTTCAAACATTTCATAGGATTTACTTGATGAAATTGTTGGTCTGTGATTAATCATGGCATTACTGGCTTTACATTTGATTTTTTGACAAGAATTGATGCTGAATTGTTTGATAAACAAATTTACACCTAGTATTATGATTTCTATTTCTGAGATAACAGTTTCAACACACTTATGTGTATACAATTTTACTAGAAAGCATATATAAATTCACAAGATAACTTAACTATAGGCGAAGAAACCACACAGTTTGCTGTATTGTAACTATTGATATAATAAAATCAAAACTCTGCTTTCAGAAAAGACATCATGCAGCCATTCTGCATATTCATTATTATTGCCACATCAATTTTTAGAAAGACTTACCAAAATAATATCAGAAACGAATGATCTAAACGAAATTTTTCCCAACCATCTAAATTTTCAACCCATCTTGTAACACAAATATCAGTAAAAATCTTTGATCTATTCAATGTGTGAAATTGGTTTTTGTTTTGGTACATCAAAATAAGAAGTTCTCTTTGGGATATTTTTCATCCCTTATGTAAATTCCTTTACTATATCTAACACATATCTAACACATTTCTTATTTCAGGTATTTTGCAAAAAATCACTAATAATCAAATTCAGTCTACGACACGCGCAATGGGTGTATATTGCTTTTGGTTGAATGCTCAGAAATTGGGTTTTTACATCTGATAACGAACCTGCCATGTTGCATCATTGCATCCTTAACCTCTTATATTTTCAATACTCAAATTAAGGTCATGTAAAGCTTACTTAATTTTAGTAAAAATATCTTTGGTTTTCACACACTCCGACTTTAAATATGCAACAAACTCTTTGCATATTTCATGTTTCTTATCAACAAATCTTAGTACAAAGGATAGTTGCTCCGTGAAAAATTTTGGCTTCTTTCATTTCTTTTATTATAGAAGCATGAAACATATCTTTTCCTAAAACCGAGATAATCTCATTTTGAACATTTGCTGAAATATAAAGAGCATTGTTCATTTTGGACATAACAAATGCTGTTACAATTTATTGTTAGAATTTCCCAATAACTTCAGCAGTGAAAGAAAGTTACCAACATTTCTAAGTTTATCTATATTTTCAAGTATACCACGCAAAGGTATACATTTTTTTTCACAATAAATAACAGCTTCCATTATACATTTCAAAATTTGTGTATTGCATTTCATTCGTTCAGCAAGTTCTGTACTTAGTTGACTGTCAACTCTAAAAGAAACATTTTTAAGTGTAAATTGAATAGCATAGCATTTTTCCAAACTACTTTTGTAATAAACGCATTTTTTATATTTAGAATATTATTGTTATTACTTTTATTATTGTTTTATTGTTATATGTTTGATAAGTACTAGTGTTGTTCCTTATTATTAATATTATTTTATTTATACTATTATTATATACATATACATACTTTTAAATAATTACTGCTTTCATTCCCATATTATTATTAATATCAAGTAATTGGTATTTACTTTTTATTATTATACTTTCAATTATAACTTATGTTATTTTTATATTATTATTGTTGTTATTGTTATTATAAATAATAATAGTTACTATTGACATTATTGTTAATTTTATTATTAAATTGTCATTATTGTTAATATTATTGCTGTTGTTATCATGAATTTTATTTTTGTGGTTAGTTTCATTATATTATTTTTACAATAACTATAATTTCTTTTCTTATATTTATCACTTTTTTTCTTAATTTTTATTCTTATTGTTATTTAAATTAATTTTTATAGGTGTTTACTTTAGATTAGTATCATTACTATTTGTAAATATCCTTGATGTAAGACCTTTTATTCATAATAAATTTGATTTGATTTGATTTTTTTTTTGATTTTCAATAATCTAATTTTTCTTAAAGCTTATTCCAATTATTAAAGGGTTTGTTAACAAAAGACCCCTTATCATTTCTTTCTTTTAAAAACAAAGCACATGGACTGCAAAACAAACCTTGCTGTACAACAGAATAGTATGCCCAGTTAACATTTGCTTATCAATTGAACACAATTTTTTTAAAAAGTCTATTAGTATAATAAGATTTGTGATGTATTGAATCTTGATTTCAGACAACATCTTTATATTTTTTCTCAATAGTCCTTATGTTCATAGTAATTGTAATGACATTTCCAATGTTAAAAAAATGAACGTTCTTGATAATTGACATCATTCTTGAGCATTCTTCAACAATTTGAATATTGTTTTGTTGATGGTTATTAGTTGCATTAAAAGGTGTAGACAATAATTTGTCCAACTTTTTTTTTTCCTATGAAGTTCGCGAAATTTGCCTGAATTTTTCGTTAGAGGAAATATCAAAATGAACATCTTATTTTTTTTATAAATTTTTTTTCAAAAATATAATGTTAATTTCACACATTCTTATGCAAAAGATTTCAACTTTTTTAGTTTTTTAATACGTTCTTTCTCAGCACCACCTTTTCTTATTTGATTCATATTAAACTAAATAATTTATACAAATAAAAAAATGCATATAAGTAAATACGAATTCTAAAAAAGACAGTAAAAACAAAATGCTTGAAAAAAGTACTAAATTTTTATGCAATAAAACAAAAGTAAAACTTTTTGTACTGCAATGTTTTTCTTTTATAGCTGCTCTACATTCACTTTTTTTAAACCAGTTCTATTGGTTAATCTTAAAAAAACAACTTAAAAACTTTCAAAAATCAATGTTTCTATGCAATAAAATTAAAAGTTGTTTTTACAAACTTTTGTGTTTTTTATAGTTGGCAAAGCTAAGAATTTTAAAAAGCTTGAGACAACACAACTTTTAATGAAAAAAAACGCAAAAACATAAGTTTTGAAACCAGCTTATTTCTTTAAAAGGAGGGTGACAGTTATGGACCTGGTATTAAATCAAGTCATCATATATAATAATAATACATAATTGTGTTTAAATGTTTCAATATACTTGATATTTTTTTTATAAAGAAAAATTTAAGAAATTAAGCAGTCATAAAAAGTTGAAAGAGATTCTGAATCTCAAATTTAAAATTTATTTGCAGTTTAACATATTTGGAAATACAATTTTTTATTGACATTGTTTTTTATGTTGTATATTCAATTTTTCGAGGTACATACTGAAAAAAAAAACATACTGAAGTTTTTAAAAAAAATGGATTTTTTTATTATTTAAAACAAATTTTTATTGTTTAAAACAAAAGTCAATTTTTTAATATAATTTTTGTTAATAAGACTTTCAACATGATTTCAGCTTTCAATCAAAAATGTTTTTTGATTTAAAGAATATGAAATCTCTTTTAAATAAAGATTTGTAAATAATTGATTTTCTAACAATTTTTTCTAACATTTATTTATCAATTATATTTAGGACATAGATAAGCACTGTATGGATATATTTCCTTTGTTTTATTTTTTAAAATGGTAACATTAATCTTGAAATTTTTTTTGACAAAGTTTCATAAAAACAGAAGAATAATTTGAAATTACACAGTGAACATTCAGAATTTCAGCAGAATTTCAGTGAACATATAAAGTACTTTGAGCTTTCTACAGGTGTTTTGATCATTGGTTACTTAGTGGACCATTAGTGGCAGCCACCAAAATTATTTTAACTAATAACTAGCCACTATATAGCATGTGGAAATTTATTGGCTGGTCGCCTAGAGCTGATGCTACTAATGATCTGTTAAATAACCAATGAGCAAAACACATAAAAATCAATCATAATACCTATATAGCTTCACTGTAAACTCACTAAAAAAATGTTTGCTGGGTATATAAGCTATGATAGTGTTAGGATTTTTAAATTTTTCTAAAAATAAAAATTTAGCCAGCAGTTT